TAGGAAACAGAGACTAAACTAGGCATGGTGGTGCATGCCTATATCTCGGATTTGGGAGGTAGAGTCAGGAGGAACAGTTCAAGGCTAGCTTCAGCTACAAGGTGAGTCCTAGGCCAGCCTGGGCTACATGAGACCCTGTCTGGAAGGAAGGAAGGGAGGGAGGAAGGAAGGATGGAAGGACTTCCTATATCACTGGTACAGCTTAGCAACAGAAGCAGGTCTGCCACTTGAAGTCATCTCCCAATCTTTCACCCCTGCTCCCCAGCCAGGGTGAGTGAAGAGGGATAGGTAGGCAGTTAGTTCACTGAGGCTTTCCTCAGAGAAGCAAGGGGCTCTGGGAAAGAGGGTGGTGGGATGCCTGAGGCTTAGTATGAAGAGCCTAGAAGAAAGATGGAAAAATCAATGAAATGAGTTTCTAACAGTGAGGTAAAGGACCGCTGTGTCGACAGTCTGTCACCTGCTGCAAAATATGAGCTGCTCAAGTCTGTTGCAGCTGCTGACAGTACATACAGCCACCACCACTGTCCTCTCCCTTCGGCCCCTCACCCAGCAGCCCCTTTTCCTGCTGCCATGGCTTTCTCATTATAGGCAGACTCTCCCCACTATCTCTCTTCCTGTCTTTTTTCCTAGCTTTCTCTGTGCATTCAGGGCCTTTATTGCAAGAACATGATAGGCTATAAGCTCTGGTTTGCTATGCCTCGCTCCTCTAAGGTTTCTGTATATTTAGACCCCTTTCTGAAGATTCATCCTGAGAGTTTGGGTGAGCTGTGACTCCCTTCTAGATTCTTTCAACAGTAGGCAGATGTGAGGTCATCTCCTACAGGGTTGTTTACAACAAGGTTTGGGTAACAGTTAACTCCTGCCTCTTGTCCGTTGGCTTACTTGGCCAATGTTCACTTCCTTGTAATCACATGTGAGGCAGGTGTTTAGAATAGGTCTGGTATTGATTTATGAACTTTTATTTGTAGAGAGTGTGTGTGTGTGTGTGTGTGTACCTGTGTGTATGTGTACCTGTGTGTATAGGTATGGCTGATTCAACTGTCACTTCAAGATTGGGAATCAGTTGAGGATACTACTTCAATTCACATTCTACTCTCTCTCAAAAAACCCTCAAACTTTTCTGGAATCCGCCTCTTTATCTTCCTCCGCATCTTCCTTAGGCTCCTAGGATGGTTCATTCATGTTTTCTTATATGTCTTGATATAGACTTCCCAGATCAGCCCTGAGAGTTAGCTTGGCTTCCTCCAAGTGTGCCCCTAACATAGTCTCTCCTTTTTCCTCCCAGGGCTTCTCTACACGCCCTTCAGCTTTTCCAACCTTTCTCTGATTTCTCAACCTGACCACTTATATAGACTTAGCTCTGGGAGATAGGGTGAGAATTAGGAGGACAACTCTTAAGTTTCTAATAATATTTACTCAAAAGATATTTATTAAGTCTGTGACTGATATTGCTAGGTGCTAGAAAACAACTAGAAATTGGAGAGCCAGGTGCAGTGGCTTACACTTGTAATTCCAGAACTCAGGAGGCTGAGGCAGGAAGAGTTCAAGTTCCAGGCCAGCCTGGGCTACAGAGTGAGACCTGTCTCAATATCCAACCTTCATTGCCATTCCCTCAAAAGAAGAAACTGAACAGAAGCAGCCTCTGCTCCTGCTTAAAGACCACTGCAGTTAACCCTGCGGTTATCTCCCACCCGATAGCTTGGTCTGTCAGACTAAAGGGACAACCCCCCCCCCTTCAGCCAAATATTACTGAGCCTGCTGGCATTTCAGAGCCCTCCCTTTTGTTCTCTCTAGGTATCAGTATATATTCTGCTTCTGCTCTGATCTAGACTTCCAGCTTTGGCCTCTTGCTAAACCCAAAGCCAGGTTCATCTGATATTTTCAACAGGTCTCCCCCCTGCTCACAAAGCCCGTCTCCTTTCCTGGTCTATAACTGCCATATTTCTCTACCTTCTTTGCCTCATTTCAGTCCTACCATCCCAACCTCAATGCCTACTATCTCTTCAGGTCACTTCTGTCAGGATCTAGCAAACCTCAGGCACTCACAAACAGAAGTAGTTTGTGACAATTGTTCTGAGCTAAGAATAGCTCTAGAGAAGCAAAGTTAAGCTACCAGAACCAGGAGTCCTACAGATTTGACTCAATCCAGGCCCCAGCCCCACAGGAGATGCAGCTCTCAGGCAAAGAGCAAGTTGGTCCTGTATGGATCTCAATATGATAACACCAGCTGCCTCTGACATCATGGAGGAGGGACCTTGCCTGTCAGGTTGCCGAGGTAACCTAGCAATTTATGACATCAGAGGCTTGGTTGGTGGGGGGGGTGGCTAGGAAGATTCAAGTTCCTGTCAGTTGAAGTACATGGGAATTCTACCTTTTCATCTCTTTGCTGTGTTCTCCTGGTTTGGGAATAAAATGCAAAGTGACTGATGAGGCCAATGGAATGAACGCTGCTCAGTGTTCTCCCCTCTTTCTTCATCTCTGCATCTTCTTTCCTCAAGAGCATCTCTCTTTTAGGGCCCAGTGGTATTCTGCCAAGCCCTTCTTTCCAAATTGCCCACCCCCTGCGGTGCTCTTCGCCTTGGTCATGCTATGCCTTCCTCACACCAGAGGCATTTGTTTCCTTTGATGCCACTCTCCTCTTCCCTCTCTGAGGCTCTGGGCAGCTCTGATCTGCTTCAGCACTCCTGCCTTTGCCATCCATTTACCTCGTTTGTACCGTACTCCTCCCCTTCCCCCACTTTGCCACTGGATTCATTTCCTATTGCTTTTTTGTTGATCCCCCTTCTTTAGGAATACTCTGTCATTTCTCTTCTCGCCTTCTGTCTAGCTATTAACTCATATTACTTATTCTCTCAATTTTTCATTAATCACCACTCAGTTCCTCCCCTTCCGCACTCCTCATTCAGAACAGATTTTCTTCCTTTCCTTTGCATGTCTCTCACAGTCATATATTTCTCTATCCTATGTGTGTATTGTACCTGGCCTCCCCTTCCTTTTTATAATTCTGTTCGCCTCTGAAATCTTCTATCATCTGTCCATATCTACCTCCTCTTATCCTTTCAAGCTCCTGGGGTCTGGAAAAACAATGATGGGCTTAAAAACCACAATAAACTCTCCAAATCCTTTATCCACCTTTACCATTCTTTAGACGGAATGAACCTGGCCCCTTGCATAAGACAGGTTCTTTCACAATAATAAACCCTGCCTCATAAAGAATGTTGCTGATCAAATTTAATAACAGCAGGAACCCAGGAGCAAAATGAACTAAAAAGTGAAGAAAAAGCCACTGATGTCTAGAATGAACTGAAGGATGGGGGATAATCAGGCAGGGTGGAGCTTAGACTCCTAGAGAACATCCCCTTAAAAATTAAAGTTGACAGTTAACTGACATAATGGCACTGATTGATGAAGGGGTTATATGCCCCTGCAAGCCCATTAAATTGATTTCTTGGCCTGTTTATGTGCCTTCACAAAACATAACCCCCACATCATTCAGGACTTTGCTTGTGACATCTTCTGCTGCTAGGGTTAAAACGATGGGTAAGAGGATAAGGGCTTAAAACAAAACAAAACAAAACAAAAAAAAAAGGTTGTGCGAAGATTAAGGAAACAAAGATGGAGAATAAGCAAAGAAGCTCATCAGATACAGGGACAGGAAAATGGGATGAAATGAATTGGTGAGATGAAAAAAATATATATACAATGGTAATATCGGGGAGAGGAGAAAAACTAAGTCAGTGGGGAGGAGGTTTGTGGTGGAAAGCTTCTGGAAAGGCAGATGACACACTGGAGACCCAAAGGCACATGGCTAGAGAGATGATCAACAATGCCAGAAGTTCCAAGGCTTCCCTGCTGAAGGTGGAGAAGGCTGTCTTGCCCAAGCTGAAAGGGCATTGGAGTCTTCAGGGGTAGATACGGCTGCTCCATCCCCCTATTTTTCAGGCCCCTGATGGCAGATTACCACAATCATGGCTGATGGGGGGAGCAAACTCCGAAGTAGCTGAAAAGGCCACAGGCAGAGAGACCCTGAAAGACAGGGCATGGAGTCCTGGGTGGCAGAAAGGTCAGGCAGCAAGGCGTGACACAGTGACAGGGGTACAAAGTGAGGGTTGCTCTGATGGAAGTGTGATAGCCAAAACTGTGACGTACAGAACCTGATATAGATGAGGTGGGAAGACAAGTAAAGAATGGCAAAACCAGAGCTCAGTGGGGCCACAGGCACGGCGAGAACTGTGGCCCAGAGCTCAAACATGATTAGAGGTGCATACAAGAGTGGACGGAGAGTCGGGTGGCAGGGGAAGCCGGACAGACATGCTTCACCGAGGACCAGGCGTCCCTCGCCTACTTCAGGCAAAAAACGAAATTGAGGGTATGCTCTCTCCCACCCGGCACCCCGGCGCGCTAGCCCATCCATCAGCCCTCCCGCCCCGGATCCTCCCCCATCCCGCAGCCAGCTGGGGTCCTCGGTGCCCCAGGCCCCACCAGGGTGACAGCTCGGAGCCCTCGCACTCACCCGGCCTCCCCTTCCCTCCAGGAACCCGGCACCCCGTGCAGCTCGGCGCGGTGCGCCTAGGCTCTCGCTACCCTCGGTCTGTCCGGCCGGCCCCTCATCTTTCCCCTCTCCGTCTGTCCACCCCTGCATCTCTCTTCCCTGCTCCCGCTCGCACGCCTCTTCTCCCTCCACGGTCTCCCTGTCCGTCCGTCCGTCTGTCCGTGTCCCCTCCCCCAGCCCCTTCCCGTCCCTCTCCGTCCCCTCCAGCGGCAGTCTCTGAGTGCCTCGTCTCCCCTCGGTTTCGAGCTTCCGAAGAGCAAGGAAGGGAAGAAGAGTGAGTATGCACACACACACAGACATATACACACATCACATGGCATATATTTTAGAGATTAGTTTTTTCCAACTTTGCTTTTTAAATAAAAAGTTTCTTTAGCAAGAAAAAAAAAAAAAAAAAAAAAAAAAAAAAAAAAACCAACCCAGCAGCATCGGAAATCGATGCACTTACACCTCAGCTGGAAGCAGGGACGGGAGTCGAACCGCGGCCGCCGAGCAGCGCGAGGCCGGGAGGGGAGGGGGCGGCTCTTGGAAGGGACTTCTCCGATGTGTTGATTCCTTTTTTGCCCCTCCTCCTCCCTCCCTTCAGCGCTCGCTCCGGGGCGTCGGGGACGAAGATGGAAAAATAAATAAATTCACGGCGGTGAGGGAAGTGGAAGAAAATAATCAATGCTATTTGGCTGCGGCTGAAGTGTTTTCCCGGCTTCGTGAGGGGGTTTCCATTGATTCACCCTGGGCACTCGCTCCCTGTCTCCTCCTCCTCCTCTTCGCCCTCCTCCTCCTTGCCCTCACTCCTCCGCCTCATTCACTGGCTGGAGCCGAGGCGTCCCACACAATGGAATAATCAATACCCAGGCGCCCGGGGCGGCCCCACTGAGCAGGTGCAGCGACCCGCCTGCCGCGGCGCATGCCGGGAGCTGTAGTCTTTCAGGCCCCCGCCCTCCAGCCAGCTAGCGCAGAGTCCGCCTGCCTCCCTGCACGCTGGAACCTGGGCGGGGGCCAGGGGCCTGGGGCCTGGGGCGGGGCAGGCCAACCTACTTCTTCCTAGGCTCAGGAGCTAGGTCTACCCTGTGTCTGCAGAAAGAGCAGGTCTCTTTAAACTCCTGTGCCCTTCTCTTCATTCTTCTTACAGAAGCCATACCTGTGTTTTGTTTTAAATCACCTCAAGAAAAAGCTCTGGTTTCTATAAGCTGCCCAGAGGTCCATCACTATTTTTCACTCCCTTCTTATTTTCCCCTTCCTTTGATTGAGTACTAGAACCTTCTCTTTCACAGCAAGCAATTTCTCTGAAGTCTCCCAGAACTACCGTCTTCTCCACTCAGTTGTATAGTCCCCAGAATTGGGTTGGGAGCTTGGGAGATTCTAGTTCCTTCACCTTTTCAACTTGTCATCTTGCAAGTGCTTTATATTCTACTTTTTAAGATTCTAAGATTTATTGAGTGTACAGGAGTTCATTTAATGGTAGAGGAAAGCAAGACTGAGTTTAGCTGCTCAGTTTCACGACCAATAAATGATGGCACCAGGATTCAAACCTCAGTGGTGTGGCTCCAGAGCTCATGCTAGTTGCAAAGCACATTTGCTTAAACAAAACTGAAGTTTATAGGGATGGGAAGGACACCAATACTTTGAGTTTCTACTATTTGTTAGACCACATTCAAAGAAAAAGCAGACTTGGGGAGATGGTGGAGTAGCCTGTAAGGTTCAATCCAATGTGGCAGAAGCAGGAGTTCTTTAATGACATCTCCAGTTCAAGATGCCATGCCTGCAAACCAGTAAACTTCCCATACTCCTTCCCCACTCGTTGGGTGTTACTAGAATCACACTGGGAGAGGCTTGTAGGTGCAGGGAACCTGGCACTTGTCACTTATCACAGAAACAAGTCTAAGAGTTGACAGTATCCTCATTCAGAGGATACTGACTTAGAATTCTGAGAGAGAGAGAGAGAGAGAGAGAGAGAGAGAGAGAGAGAGAGAGAGTCTTCTCTGTTTGGTTTCCCAAAGCAGACAGAAGGCAATTCTTAGGTCTTTCTGTATTTATTTGGTTTGTTTCCTTTTTGGTTTGTTTTGGCAGACAGGGTCTCACTCAGTCCAGGATGATGGCATGGAAATCATTTGATAGCCCAGGCTTGCCTCAGACACAAAGTGATCCTCCTGCTTCAGCTTCCCAAGTTGCTGGGGTTACAGATGACATGCACCACTATGCTTATCTTCCTACATTTTAAATGAAAGTTGAAGATTTCACTCTCTCACTCCGGACAAAACCAGCTCAGGGACTACTGGAAACTGACAACTCTATTATTTCTTTTCCTTTTTTTTTTTTTAAAGATACTCTCCCTGTAGCCCCAGCTGGCGTGGAACTTGATATGTAGACCAGGCTGGCTTCCAAGCCTGCATCTGCCTCCCTAGTCCTGGGATTAAAGGCCCCTGACAATTTCTTAGTCTGGTGCACTCAGTCATGGCTTTTTCCAAGTTGCCACTCAACTGTACTTCTGGCTCCATCTTTTACTTAGATATTGGTTAAGTGCTATAGTTTCTGGGCCTTTGCTTATGTAGTTTCATTTCCACCTGGGTCTCCAGCAGTTGAAATCCCACTACATCCTTAGTTCATATTCAAAATATCACTTCCTTCTTTGGCAGAGTTTCCCAGCCACCTTTATCCTAAACCAGAATTTATTAGATCCCCAGTAAAACTCCAGCGTAGTGGCAGGCTATGGTGGCTCACACCTGTAATCGCAGCACTCAAGAGGTGGAAGCAGGGGTCCAAGAATTCCGGGATTGTTTGAGTTACATGAGATCCCTGTATCAAAACCCCATAATAACCACAAAAACACTCCTGGTAGGTATAATTACTCCACTCGCTCCCCAGACCACTACTACTGGCCTGCTTTTAGTGGCCAGTCATAAATGGCAGTGTCCAAGTGGCTTGGGTTTCTCCAGACCCACCACTGCCTGCCTACACTGGGAAGGGGTGAAGAATGAAGTCTAAGCTCCTCGCATCCCATTCTCCCCACCGCCCTGCTATACCCAGTTCAGCTTTAGGTAGAGTCTCGGTGGCTGACACTAATTGCATGTTTCCGATCACCATAGTGACATGTGGGCGGGCGAGCTGGCCCCGTAGAACTACGTCTCCCATCATGCATCAGGACCCAGGGTGCCAGGCTCACGCTGGAGATACCGGACTACACCCGGGCTCCTGGAGGTACGAGCAGAGCGAAAGAGGGCGTTCTGGCTAGTCTACCCACCTCCGGGGCTGCGGCCGTGCGTAATGTAATAGCGTCTTGGAGTTCAGCCTGACCTGAGCACCGCCACACCGGCCTAATATGGCTGCTGGTGCTGGGACGCGCTAAGCGCGCCGCGAGCCAGTCTGAGGTCCGGAGCCAGGGACTACTCCCGGCATTCCTCGCGGGTGTGGCGTGGGTGCCCTTCCCCCATTTCCGGGTCCCGCGAGGCGAGACCTTCAGGCTTCCAGGTGAGAGCTGAGGTTCTACCTGCTGTCCTGGGCGGGGAAGCACTGCCCTCCTGGGGCGACAGGATACAGAGCGGCTGTTGCAAGGTTACCAGCAAAACGTCCTGCATTCTAGGGAGTCCTTTGGGTTGACGACATCATTAGTAGTAGGATTTAACTGGAGACCTGGCACCCTAAAACCTCACAGGTAGAGCCTTGTGTCCCTGAAGCAGAGGTCTGAAACTGTATGTGGTCCCCCGGGGGGGGGGGGGGGGGGGGGTCTCTGCTGACCTTTCGCACCCATGAGCGCTCAGTGAATCCTCATTGTAAATGTTTCTTACAGGTCAACATGGCCAAGGGCTTGATTGAAGTTGAGCGCAAGTTTGTTCCAGGGCCTGGCACCGAGGAAAGACTGCAGGAACTGGGGGGCATTCTGGAGCATCAGGTCACCTTTCGAGACACTTACTATGATACTTCTGAGCTAAGCCTTATACGATCTGACCACTGGCTGCGACTACGAGAAGGTAGTGGGTGGGAGCTCAAATGCCCAGGACCAGCCCGTGTCTCAGGTCCCCACAATGAGTACACGGAACTGACTTCGGAATCTGCAATTGTGGCCCAGCTCTTTGAGCTGCTAGGGGCAGAGGGGCTGGAGGCTGCAAGTGTGGTCGCTGTATTGGCTCCACTGAAGCTGCTGGAAGTAGCTAGTTTTGTGACTAAACGCAGTTCCTGGAAACTGGTGTTCTCCGGAGCTGAGGAACAGGAGCCGCTGCTTAGAGTGGACCTGGATACAACAGACTTTGGCTACGCCGTTGGTGAGGTAGAGGTTTTGGTGCATGAGAAAGCTGCTGTGCCAGCTGCCCTAGAGAAGATCGTCAGCTTCAGCAGCAAGCTTGGTGAGGGAGACAGGCCCTTCTGTGTTTTTCCCCCGTTTCCCATTTTACTTTATTGGAGGCACCCATTGGACCACATAGCTGTGGAGAGTATCAGGATTATTTCTGCAACATGATTTTCTTACAAATAATTTTCTAGAGGACCCAATTTTCTTTACACTTCTACCAGGTCATTTCTTCTTTTTTGAGACAGGTTCTCCCTGTAGCCCCAGCTGACCTGGAACTCACTATGTAGACCAGGCTGGCCTTGAACAGAGATCCACCTGCCTCTGCCTCCCAAGTGCTGGGATTAAAGGCATGCACCACCATGCCTGGCTGTTTCTGCTTTCATAGTAGCTAATTTGGATTTAATTCTTTTGCGTATCTAATCTTCCTAGTCATTGTCTTGTTTAAGTCTTAGTTCCATGTGTCAATTCTCTGCTTTGATCCTTTCCCCAGACTTCTTTAAACTTCTACATCTTCATTATCCCCTTGACTCTTTATTTTTTAGTTTTTTGTTATCCACCTGCCTCATCTACCCCAGTGCTGGGATTACAGGCGTAGGTAACCATGTCCAATGTGCTGTCCTCTTGGCTTTGAGTAAAAGACAAGAACATTGCATTAATTTGACACGGGTGCCCTTCAGCAGGTTTTTCTGTTCCCATGATTAGTTCCCTTACAGACAGCTCATTCACACACAGGATTGTGCACCCTACATACAGGACCTGACAGCCCTTGAAGGCTATCTGAGCCTCCTTAGCAACCACATATGGGGTTCCATGCATGTTGTTGGGTACTAGCAACAGTGGCAGTAGGCAGTTCCAGGCAAGATTCTGCATGAATTCCACTCCACAGGTGTAGCTTCTGCTTTCCTTTGCTTTCTGTAGTACTTGGTTTGCACATTGCCATGTGCTTCATCACCAAGCTCATGAGTTTTGGCTTACCTAGGTGGGCTTGCATCTTGATTGGGACATGAGTAATAACTGAGATGAGTGGATTCTCCTGTCTACATGACACAGTATGCCTCTTCACCATTTCTCCTTGTTAGAGAGGCTTTCTGGCCACACCACCCGAGTGGACCTTTGGGGTCTTACTGCCACAGTCCAGCGAGGGAGCGGGTGAGTTAGAGAAGCTGCTTGGACAGCACTCCAAGTCTTAGTGCTGCTTTGAAAACTTTGGGGTCCTCGCTGGGTGGCAGGGAGCAAAGGAAAGGGAGCATGGCAGGGGGGTCTGCTTCTTCCTCATTGTCCTCTTGCCTGCAGGGGTGCCGGCACAGGAGAAGGCACCTGCCAAGGTCCAGGTGTACCTACAGCGCTTCAGGCCTCAGGACTATCAGCGCCTGCTAGAAGCAAACAGCTCCAGAGAGCCCACGGGGGAATCAACATCCTGATAGCAGTTTGTGCTAGCAAGGTTCACTTCCTGGAAGGGACAAGAACTCTAGGTCTGATGTTGCCGTCCACACCTGGACTCACTGTGCCCTTCCCTTCCAAGTGTCTTCTCTCTCCAGCTCTTCCCATTCTTTCACTCTATCCTCAGCTACCCTTCCCTGAGCCCTCCGGGCTGCCTCTTCTCCCTCATCCGTCAGATGCAATCTGTGGGCCGCCCCTCTCCCCTGGCCGCTAAGCAGCCTCCATTGATTTCCGCTCGTGTTTATAGGATTTCCACTTAGCCGTGATCAGTAGTTAAGCACAGGAAAATCCCTTGCCGCCCCCCCCTCCCTTGGTCGATGCCATTGATTCTGCCAGCGGCTTTGAAACCGCCTTACAGCTGAGTTAGAGACGAGGGGAGGCAGCAGGGATTTCCCTGCCTTGGGGTGTAGGGAATAGCAACAAGATGGGGAAATAGTTGGGAATTCCTGTTAGAAACCCAGAAATTCTGCTCTGGTTTTGCCACTGTGCCTAGAGGGTAGAGTACCCTGTGTGTCCGTTTAGAGGTAAATTTGCTCCCCAGTACAGAAAGGGGTAAAGAGAAAACCCTTATTGTTGAGACAGGTCCCTAAGGTTCCAGGGAAGAGTTCTTCCTGTTTGACAAGGCTCTACCCTTGTTATTCATACCTTTTCTTTCTCAACTATGCCAAAATGGGCTTTCTGCCCAGCCTCAGGCTTTATTTGTAGAGGAGGCAGGTCCTTCTGTTTGCAGTGACAAATGTAGGACCAGAGTGCCACCTGCTGGTAGCCCTTTGGGGTCTGTTCCCAGTTTGTGGGGTGAAGGATTTCCGGTGAGTGGAAACAGTTATGAATGAAGAAGGCAAGCATAGGGAATAGCTTAACAACCTGGGACTCCACTTGGTTTGGGCTCTGTACCTACCTTCTTCTAACAATACACTTGGCAATCTATGATCCTCACCTTCACGTACCACACACACACACACACACACACACACTTCTAATAATGCATCTAGCAACCTAAGACCCCCTCCACCTGCATCAAGTTGCAAATACATCCCACTCGAACAATGGAATCAATCTCTCTTCCTCCTAGCAACCACAAGAACTCCCCTTTTGTGGACAGTTTATATTCAAACATATTTCAGAACATATCTGAGTATGGCTGATCTGGCCAGGATTGGTTTTGGGTGCATGTACAATAAGGTAAAGTATGTCCTCTGAGTGCAGTTTTACCATTTTTGCCTATGTATAATTGAATGTGCAGATGCCGCATGGGAAGGGCTATACATGCACAATGAGGAAAGGCTTACATAATCCAAGCCTGTCAATCAAAATGGAGAACCACCCAAATGATACCCCTTAGCAACGAACTCCTCCTTCCCTGAACCCTGTTGAAGAAGACCCAGGCAGCAGTCTGGGCCCTTGAGTGCATTCCCTCTAGTGTGAACCCTTGAGCGCATTCCCTCTAGTATGAACCCTTGAGCGTGGTCCCTCTAGTGTGAACCCTTGAGCGCATTCCCTCCAGTGTGAACCCTTGAGCGTGGTCCCTCCAGTGTGAACCCTTGAGCGTGGTCCCTCTAGTGTGAACCCTTGAGCGTGGTCCCTCCAGTGTGAACCCTTGAGCGTGGTCCCTCTAGTGTGAACCCTTGAGCGCATTCCCTCTAGTGTGAACCCTTGAGCGTGGTCCCTCTAGTGTGAACCCTTAAGCGCATTCCCTCTAGTGTGAACCCTTGCAGCGTATTTCTGATTTGTACCGTCACTTTGCTTTTGAATAAAGTTGCCTGGCTACTTTGTAATCTGTGTGCCTTTATGACTTTATTTCCATTCTCTGAATAAGACACCAAGAACCTGCAAACACCTGGGCCAGACACCCCTGGTAAGTTACTGCCATGTCTCCATAGGCAAGTTATTCACCTCAAAGATCTCCTGCACGGCCTGGCCAAAGTGGTTGTAGGTGAGGCGCAGCTTTAGCCGTAAAGGTGCCTAGAAATAGGAAGTTGAAGACCAGGGTTAGGTCCCTGGTTTCTCCCATCCTTCTTATCCAGGGGGTTTTACAACTCACCTTGCTAGGGTTGAGGATTTTGAAGAGCTGGGTGATGGGAAAGCCGCCCTGGGCTGGAACCGTGTCCCCACTGGGGGCCTGTAGCTGTAGCTGGAAGCTCTGAGCACAGGAGGTTTGGACAGAACACAGTAAAGCCACCTGTTGGGCTCAGGCAACCCTTCTACACCCAGTGGCTCCCAGTTTTTTTTGCATAACTCCCCAGCAACTGTCTCTGTACATCACCCCTTTTCCATCTCAATAACCACCCCCACTACTTATTACTTTGTGGCCTTTTTTTCCTGGAGTGCTTTTTTAAAACCCCCCCCCCTACTTATTTCTTTGTGGCCTTTTTTTCCTGGGTTCCTGTTTTTTTTTTTTTTTTTTTTTTAAGACAATGAATGTAGTTCAAGTTGGCCTTAAACTTACTATGTAGCCCAGGCTGGTCTCAGTGATTCCCCTGCCTCAGCCACCCAAGTGCTGGAATTATAGGCATGAGCCACCACACCTGGCTGAACTCTGTTCTTTACAAACCTTGGGCACAGCTGCCTGGCAGATGAAGTGGGTGACATCATCCTTTGAGGAGTTGGTGATGGTGACAGTGACTAGGAGCAGAGCTGGGGTTTCAGGAGGCCGAATGAAAGACAGATTCATCTGAACTCCTTCACGCTCAAACACTTGAAGACTGGGGATGGGAGCTAGAGAAGGGAGAGAGGCGGCTCAGTGTACAGACTCAAGATAGCACATCCATTCACTCAATAACAATAGAGTGAGCTCATCTTGGCTCTGCAATGCCCCAGATCTGGTGACAAAATAGACAAGCTAAGGTTGGAGCTCACCATCTAGTGTGGGGAGAAAATAACAAAACACTCAAGATAATCACCATCGTGGTGTTGTAAGTGAAATACATTAAGCCAGAGTGACTGGGAGAACTCAGTTAACAGGAGAGGTTGGGGCGGCTGACATTTCAGCTGGAGCCTGAAGAGTGAGAACAAGCCAGTCATTTGGTGTGCTGGGTAAAGAACATTCCACATAAAAAGAACATGAAATGTCAAGTGTTTGAGGTGGGAGAATTTGGGGAGTTGAAGGCACCTGTGGAGGGGGCACTGGGAAACCTATATGAAACCAGCTGGAGAGGAAGCAGGGCTCTCTAGACCAGGTAAGAAATAACAGGACCAGGGAAGACATTAAGAGTGCCAAGTCGGAACTTGCACTGAATGAAACTTTTACCTACTGAGATGGGAGTCTTCATCTGTGGCTCAGAAAGAGAAATGACACATTTCCACCCCCCTTCTCTAAGACATCTCCTGTTTGCTGAGGCTTACCTGGGGGTGGAGGCGCACAGGGAAGGTCAAGGAGGTGTACTAAGGCACCCCCTGGGGAAGGAGCCAGGGGAGGAGGGTGCTGAGTATCTTCAGAAGTGCCATCTAGGAGATCCAGCAGATCCAAGAGTTTAGTGGCCTGGGGGAGAGGGCAGGAGGGTTATGGCAGGTCAAGGAAGCCTGTGCAAATCCTCTTTATTCATGTCTTCGATTCCCTCACCTGGGGCTCTGTGGGGACAGGGGCTGCTGTTCCCAAGAGCTGGGATGCTGATTTGTTATCCTTTGCCTCTTCATCAACCTGAGGGCCACCTCGCTCCACGAGTGGCATCTTTTCAAGGATGGCAGCCCTGAGTGGATGGAATGCAAGGGTTCCTCTGTGTGGCCTTCGCAGAGATATTTGGGAAAAAAGACTAAGAACACATGGGGTTGTCAGTGGTCTTCTGGTTTTCTAAGATGGAGCACTGTTGCTGGTTTTCAGATGACTAAGGAGGGTTGGGGCCAGCTTAACCTCTATCAGCTGTGGATAGGAGAGGCTCAGCCCCTCACACCTAGAAGGGAGCATCTGGGAGACGGTAGAGTTTGGAGTTCTACCCTGCAGATTTCTGGACATACCTCATGTGGTCATACTTCCGGAAGAGTGTGTTATACTCCACAGCCCGCTGCTGCAGCTCCACATCCACACAGCTCCCATAGATGGACACCACCTGGCGGATACGACTGGGCCACAATGTGGCATGTGAGAGGCAATGGCAGCTCACCTTGCTCTTCAACTCCAGGATGTGACGGAAGGGAGAAGCCCCATAGAGCAAAGAGACACCTAGATACGTGGCTCAAAAGCAACATCCTAAGGACTGGGGAAGAGGGATGTGTGTGCTTGCAGAGCTCGGAGACCATGGGCGAGTGAGGGGGCTGGGACCCCTTCTTACTTGTTGTCTCCCCGGAGCCGGGTGCTGAACTTCATGAGAGCTGTGAGGGCATAGCCTCGGGTGGTTGGCAGGGACATATGGGACTGCAGAACCTTTTCTAGTAGTGCTAACACTTCCTCTTCTTCCACCTGCAGGTGTGAACAAGTAGTGAGCACAAGTCCAGTCCCTGCCTCTCCTGATGAGTCTTCCCTAGCGGGCCCCTCTCTTATGCAGGTCTCACCTGCGAAGGCTCCGTTTCCTCACAGTTCCCTTCCAGCAGGAGGTCCCCATACTCCCCGATGCACCAGGCTGCCACCTGGACAAGTGGTTGCTGTATGGGGGAAGAGATGCTGTTAGGCTAGTCGGTGTGTGTGTGTGTGTGTATGGGGGAGGGGGGCTCCTCTCTCCCAGTCCCCACAACAATTCCTTTATCCCTGTACAAAGATGGTGGAGCTGCCAGGGCTGAGAAGTTTAACAGGCTCTGTCTCAGCATCTGGGCTCCTACTGCCCTCTGGTGGGTAAGCACCAAAACTACATGGCCTAATCACATGCTGGAGCCCTGAGAGTCCCTCTCCTAAGATTTCTGCCCACCCTACTTAAGATGAAAAAGGGGACTATGGATATTGGCTGGCACCTGTTAATTCACTAAGCACTCTAGGTAATAATAAAAGTGAATACATGCGCCAAGCTTTAATTTATGCCATTTGATCCTGAAGACAGCCTGGCGGCAGGCAGTGTAGAAAGCTGAGTACATGGAGTCTAAAGAACTTAAGTTATTCATCTGGGGTAGCAGTCATTAGGGACCAGAGCCAGGACAGGAGCCTAACTAAAAGGTGGGTTCTGTCCTTGACCATCTCCTGAACAGCTGTGCCTGGGGGGGAAACCATTCAAAATCCAGTGTTGACAGGAGGCCTGGGAAAGGCTGGGGGAGGCTGGTTAGCTGGAGCTGGGGAAGGAGGAGTGACACCTGGGAGATGTCCTCTGCTAAGGCACTGTAGAGGCGGCGCACAGAATAGGGATGTAGCTCCTGGGTCCCTCCAATCAGCTGGGTCAGGTTGGCTACTGCATCATCTCGCACATGGGTGCCTGCCTGAAAGGGAGTGGATGTGGCAAAGTCAGAGTGGTGAGCTCTGCCCACTGCTGCCCGGCTATCTCATGACCCCATCTCACCGTGGTCAGCACGTGCAGGATGGTGTCTATGTGCCACCGCTTGGTTGGAGCAAACCTAGAGGACATGGTTTATCAGTCCTGGCACTATCCTTTCCTAGACTGCACCCTCTGACTCCTAAGTACCTGTCACCTCACCTCTCTGCAGCCAACAGGATGCCTGAGGCACAATCTGCCCGCAGATCAGGGGGGCAAGACTCCAGAAAGGCCTGCAGTTCCTGTGTCATCGCTCTCACATTGGAGCTATTCACCAGGGCCAGGCTCAGCTCCAAGGCCCGCCTGGCAAGAGACAGGTGTCCATGCAGGTTTCCCAGGTTACACTGTTCTGTGCTTCTCTATCCCCAGGCACCTCTCCCTTTAGTTCTTACTCCCACTGCTCTGAATGGTTTGGGCCTTGGCTACCTGGCACTGTGTCTTCTGCCCTGTCCCCTGGTCCCCTCTACCTTTGCTCACCTGCTAAGGGAGGCATCAGTTTCCCGTAGACATTCTACCACAGTGGAGCGATGACGCTGCACAGCACTGTGATCAGACTGCACCAGCCGCAGCAATGATGTCAGGGCCACGTACCTGGTCCGGATGGGAAAAAGGCCTTATCACACGTGGCCATGATACCCTGTGCTACCCAAGATGTAGTGGTAACAGGTAGATCAGGAGGGAGGAATGCAGAGGGCCAGGTATGCAGTGGTACAACCTGGCCAGACACTGGGGCTGTTACCTAATATTCTTGTCATTGTTGAGCAAGAAACGGCCAAGAATGTTGACAGCTAGAACCTACGAGAAGAAGGTGAGGACAGTCAGGGAAGAAGCCACCTGTTCACTCAGGAGCGGGGACCTCCTTTGTGATAGAGGTTGGGAGAAGCCAGTGACCAGGACCCGTCTGTCTGACTGGAGTGGGTGGGGCTACCAGCTGGAGAGCACATGGGCTCGGAATGATACCCGAAGGCCAGCTGCAGAATGGATGTCCATGATGGTGAGCACGGTCTCAAATAGGACTGCATTGCCTGCATTTCGGCTGGTGTCTGTATTGGTAGCCACCTGCGTAGATGGGAGAGCAGATCCATCTGCACAGGGCTGTTTTTTCCCTATGATTTCTGGAAGGTCACCACCATGTCCTCTGTTCATCCTTCAAACTTTTAACACAATTCCCTGAACCCTACTACTATAAGCAGGCCTTCTGTCAGGGCTTGCTTATAAACTAGGGTAACAGCACAACAGACTGTGTCCTTCTTGGAATTCATTGGCTGAGGGGAGAGAGAGGCAATTACATGGCCTCTGTGTGGTGAATGGACATGTGAAGAATGCCCAGGGCTGGTGGACCCCAAGAACTACATGCTTAAAGGATGAACCGCGCCCCCCCCCCACCTGGGCTAGTAAGTCATTCATGGTCTCGCTGCTTTCTTCATGGTTCCGTCCCAGGATCCGAAGCAGATGAAGTATCTGGACCTGAGATTGGGTTAAAGGTTGAAAGCTAGAGGGGTTCATAGGATAATGTCAAGGGGATGAGGCGCAAACCTGAGGACAACACTATAACGGGTGTGACTAGGTCCCTAGGCTTCCACCTCTCCCTCTCAGCTCTAAAGGGCCCCTAGGCCCTGGAGTAGATCACAGGTATGTAGGGCCAGGGAAGTTTGAGCCAGGGTTTTTTTTTAAATTGACTATATTGTTTTATTATTTCTTTTTTTCCTGTCTATTTTTATTGTGCTTTTGTGTATTTCATATAATAAATCTTAGTCAAATTTAGGCCTCCTCTCCAATCTACAATCCCCCCATAGCACCTCACCTCCCCACTGGATTTCACCCATTCTGTCATATGTTAAGACCTATCCAAGTCAAGAATTTGTACCCAGGACAGGCTTTTTATAGTTACCAAACTGGATATTCTGACCTTTGGTGTCCCACCCCCCACCAATTCCCTACCCTCAGTCCTAGGGTGACCAGGGGAATCCTGAGCCTGCTACCCTCTTGTCTAAGACATGGACTGTGCCAAAATGGGAAGTGATTACTGGCCCATGGTCTTATTCTAAGTCTTCTGTGTTTCAGGGATACAGCAGGGAAAGCTCAGCCCACCTGCAAGAAGGGGTCACTGACTCCAGAGACGCTGTGTTCGGTTGAGAATCCTGTTGTCATCAGAGTCCGGAGGATCTGTACCAGTTGGGGCACTACCTGGAGGAAGAGCACAGCCAGTCTTGTCTGGGCATTCCTTCTTTCTTCTCAACCATCAGTTCCGATTTTTCTCCCACCGCCCATTTTTGCCTAGTCCAGGACCTGCCCCTTCACCAGCCCACCTTTCGAAAGTGCTTGAGGGCTGCAGGGCTTCTTTCACAGAGCTCCATGATCAGCGTGATGGTGCCCAGCAGGATACCTGGGGTCAGGGTGGGGAAGTGAATTGTGGGCTGGGGCATGGGACAGCCTAGTATACGTGTGTCTCTGTGTGTGCACTACCCTTGTTGATATGCTAGTTTTTCCTGACTAGTTTTTCACTTCACCTATCCATAAGCCAGACTTGGGGAAGACAGTGGAGAGCCCTGTGCCTTACCATGATGTCGCTCATGGAGCAGCTTGGCACAAGGTGGTAGGAAGATGCTGGAGAGCTCAGGGTCCTTCCGGATCATGTGTACTGCAGCCAAAACAGCCTGCAGAGTTCAAAGGCCTCAGATAGGACCACCAGGCTGGACCCTCACTTCCCCTGCATGGCAGAGGGGAGCAGCAAGTGTCTAGAGTTCACATCTCACCTTCTTGCGCACATAGGGGCTAGGCTGCAGGAGCAGCTTTTCCACTTCTGTGGCCAGGTCACGACACATTTCAGCAGAGCCCATGGTGCTCAGAGTGCAAAGGGCAAGGCCTTGAACTGGCTGAATCCCCTGACTCAGGTCACTGTAGGGTTGGAAGGATGGTCAGCTAAGTCTGAGAAACCAGTTCTTCCCAGTACCTACAGCAGGCAGCCCTCTGGGATTTTGCAGTTTCCCACTCTCCCAATGCTGATTTCAAGTGCCCCAGAACCCTCTCACTTCTTGATGCTGTTGGTAATGAGCAGATGGGCATCGTGCCTCTCATCCAATAGAAGCATGGCCCCCAGGTAGCCCACCCTCTTGTCTGTGAATCTGGGGGAGGCGATCAGTTTCAGGCACTCCATCTATAGAAGGGGGCGGACCAGGAAGGGCAGTGTGAAACCGCAGGCACTGACTTCCCGTTTTATCCTCCTCCCTAACACCAGATTAATTTGTGGGACATCCTATTTCATCACCCTTCCTTTAACCAGAGGAGAGGCTTAGGTGGAGACTTGTGTAGGAGTGAAGGCTGGGTCATGAGGAAGTGCTAAGAATAAGGTTGGACAAGAAACCACCGATAGGATAGTGAGGCAAGGGAGTTTTCAGCGGTTTAGAGTTCAGAAAATGAGAATTTATAGTCAGGTGGGGTGATATATGCCTGCAAATCCCAGCACCCGGGTTACTGAGGCGGGGATTTCTTGAATTCTGGGCCAGCCTGGGCTACAGAGAGACTCCTGTCTAAAAAAGAACTGGAGAATGAACACAATTGGGGTACAAATACGCAACGGAAAGCCAGTGGGACAACACTGTCCTCCAGTCTTGGAGACAGCCCAGGCCAGTACCTGTCCAAAGTGGGCGGGGTAGCCCAACATGTGGACGTAGAGCAACTTGGCCAGCTGGCGATGCCTCTGCAGGGGATCCCCATCGCGGAAGGAGGCCCGAATGTGAGCGCACTCTTTCTGGATCACCTCCCGCTCCTGGGCCTGGGTTTTGGCCCCACGAATCTCTTCGATTAGGTCCTGAAGCTTCAGCGAAGGCGCCACCATCCTGGGGCAGAGCCCGGGAGTGGAGAGGACTTTAACACCTTGCAACTGGGTGCCAGGATTGCTCTGTGCCCAAATCGTAAGGGCTTGGGTCCCATGGACACCCTAAAATCGAGCCCACATTGACCTCCCACCTGGATCTCCAAGCCACCGCCTGGCCTCGCAAGGACACCCCTACTACTACGCGCATGCGCCCGCGCCTCACCCGGTGCCTGTTCCCACTGAGCCTGCGCCAGAGCCCCGCCCATTTCTCACTTTCCTCTGTCGACCCGGTCCCCACCTCTGGCTCACATTCCTTTCCTTCTGGGTTCCTGCGCTGTTTTCCTGCAGGATTTCCAGCCCCCTCCACTCTGATCCGGTTCCCCTTCCCACCTCTGGTGGCATCAGCTGCCCCGCCCCAACCTCACCTGGCTTCAGGCTCAGCAGGGCTCCTCTTGCCCCCACCCAGCGCTTCCTGGTATGGGGCCGAGCTGAGGTTGGCGCTTGGTCGGATCCTCCCCTCTTGCCCGCCTCCACCGCCGGACCCCGCCCCTCCTGAGCCTTCTTTTTTGACCTCCGGCCTCAGTCTCTGGCTCTTTGGGGAAGAAGCTCTCTATTTTACAGGCTTGCAGATCCCCAAGAAGCCTCCATTTTCGTCCTCACCGCGTGGTGACACTCGAGAACTTGAGTTGGAAGCCATTGCACCCCAAAGGAGATGACAATCCCCCCCTTTTTGGAACTTTTTTATTAATATATTTTTGTT